TTACAATTAGCCTACATGTTTATTTTCATTTTTATTGAGTGTCTCTCCTTTCTAGAATATAAATTCTTTGAGTGCTGGTATACACCACTAAACTACCCAACATCTTCATGTACATTTTAAAACAACATCTAAAACAATGGCACATGGTAGCTACTTAGTGAATATTTCTGCTATCTTATCAATCATTATAGTTATTGATGATATAAAGATAGGTAAAAACATGTTTTTATTACATAAAGATCCTAAGAATGATAAAAAAATTATTAAAGCCCTAGTAATCTGCTGAAAGTCTTTATGTAACAAAGCAGAAGTATAAGTTAATTATAAGAATACCTCAATAGGTGAGTGTCTTTTAGTTCAGGCTGTTATAACAAAAAACCATAGACTGGGTCACTTCCACAACAGACATTTATTTCTCACAGGTTCTGGAGGCGGGGAAGTTCAAGATCAGGGTATCAGAAGGTTCAGTTCTTGATAAGGCCCCTATTCCTGCCCTGTTGGTGGCCACCTTTACATAGCAGAGACAAGCAAGCTCTGTTGTCTTCCTCCCTCCTTCTCTCCTCTTTTATTTATTTGAGAGAAAGACCATGAGCTGGGGGCGGGGTGGGGTGGCTAAAGGAAGAAGGAGAAGCAGACTCCCTGCTGAGCACCACAGGCTTCCATCCCAGAACCCTGAGATTATGACGTGAGCCAAAGGCAGACTGAGCCACCCAGGTGCCCCTCCTTCTATTTTTTATCTATCTATCTATCTATATTTATTTTTATGAGTATTAATCCCATCATGGGGAGATCCACCCTTCTGAAGTCATCTAAACCTATTTACCTCTCGACATAGTTAACTCCAAACACTATCACAGTGGGAGTTAGGACTTTAACATGAATTCTGGGAGATAACATTCAGCTATAACAATAGATATGCAATGAATGTAAATATAACAAGGAAGAAACACTGGAAAGTACACATATATAAAACATGCAAATATTACCGGTTATCAGAGATATCAACTTGAACACTTATAATGAAACCATTTTTCTCTCTTAATACAATGTCTGGCATAGTGTGATCTCTCAAATATTTTTTGAATCAGTCTGTCAGCCAAATTTCTCAATTGATAGTTCTTCGCACAAGAAAGATGTGGTGGAGCTGGTGCTCTGTGGTGGTGGTAGTGGTGAGATTTATACATTCCAAAGCAATTTGGTAGTGTTCTCTTACCCTTGACACAATAATTCTACTTCTAGAAATATTTCCTGGCACTCTAATCCAAAATGGAACCTATATGCAGGATCATATTTATTGCATTGCCATTCACACTAACAAAAAAAGAGAGGGCATAAATTAGAGTCCAATATTTTTTTAAAGACCTCTTTTTTTGTTATTATTATTATTATTATTTTAAGTAATCTCTATGTCCAATGTGAGGCTTGAACTCACAGCCCAAAGATCAAGAGTCATATGCTCTACTGACTGAGCCAGCCAGGCGCCCCAAGTCCAATAGTTTTTAAAAATGTGGCCGTTTGATTGACACTGTCACTAAATATGTGAATACATCATTCAGTTTACTGTCAGGTCAGCCTGGGAAGAATTTTATATCTAAATTGTCACAGTTAGGGGCACCTGGGTGGCTCAGTCGTTGAGCGTCTGCCCTCGGCTCAGGTCATGATCCCAGAGGTCCTGGGATGGAGCCCCTCATCGGGCTCCTTGCTCCGCGGGAAGCCTGCTTCTCCCCCTCCCACTCCGCCTGCTTGTGTTCCCTCTCTCGCTGTGTCTCTCTCTATCAAATAAAACCTTTAACAAAAAAAATTATCACATTTAAACTCTGTCAACTATGGTTAGTTTTAATTTAACTCCCAGAGAGTTAAATTATTTCCAAGCTCTTAAAAAATATTTTATTGTTCTAGTCCTCCTACCCCCAACACATGTTTCATGCCAAATGCTCATGAGACTAGAATTTCCTTGAGGGCAGGGGATGGCATTTCTCTTTACCCTCACAGAGCCTCACTATAAACTCAATCAATACATGTGTCTTAGTATCCTAGGGCTGTCATAATAAAATACCTTATACTGGGTGGCTTAAACAACAGAAATCTATTTTGTCAGGGTTCTGGAGGCTGGACGGTCCAACATCAAGTTCCATCAGGGTTTGGTTTCTAGTGAGAGCTCCCTTCCTGGCTTGCAGATGGCCACCTTCTTGCTGTGCCCTCACATGGCAGAGACAGAGCACGAACACTCTTACAAGGGCACTAATCCCAGCATGAGGGATCTGATATATGAGATATATATATATATATATATAATTTAATATACCTCTAAGTGTATTTCACTTTGTCCCTTTGATATTTTTAATAATGTATGCCAAAAGGTCAAAATCTGGGACGCCTGGTGGCTCAGTTGTTTTAGCGTCTGCCTTTGACTCAGGTCATGATCCCCAAGTCCTGGAATCGAGCCCCACATCGGGCTCCCTGTTCAGCAGAGAGTCTGCTTCTCCCTCTCCCTCTGACCTTCTCCGTCTGACCCTCCCCTCTGCTTGTACTCTGACGCTCTCGCTCTCTCTCCCTCTCTCTCTCAAATGAATAAATAAAAAAATCTTTTTAAAAAAAGTCAAAATCTTATAAGTAAACTCATACTGTCCTTTGACAGTATTTCAAAAGCGTGTTCTCCAAATATTGTCTTGAGGCATGCTAGTTTGAAAACTATCTTAAAGAGAGAAATAATAACTTTCTAATCAAAAAATTGTAATCATCTAGTCCAACTCTTAGAAATAGAAAATAGAATGGTGGGGCACCTGGGTAGCTCAGTCGGTTAACTGTCTGTCTTCAGCTCAGGTCATGATCCCAAGGTCCTGGGATCGAGTCCTGCATCGGGCTCCCCGCTCAGTGGGGAGCCTGCTTCTCCCTCTGCCTGCCGCTCCCCCGCTTGTGTTCTCTCTTTCTCTCTGTCAAATAAGTAAATAAACTCTTTAAAAAAAATTTTTTTTTTAAGATTTTATTTATTTGAGAGAGAGAATGAGATAAAGCATGAGAGGGGGGAGGGTCCGAGGGAGAAGCAGACTCACTGCTGAGCAGGGAGCCCGATGCGGGACTCGATCCCGGGACTCCAGGATCATGACCTGAGCCGAAGGCAGTCGCTTAACCAACTGAGCCACCCAGGCGCCCTTTAAAAAAATTTTTTTTTAAATAAAGAAAAAAGAAAATAGAATGGTGGTTGTTAGGGGCAAGAGGGAGGGGGAGTTGTTGGTCAATGGATATAGAGCTTCAGTTTTTTTTTTAATTTTTTTATTAATATATAATGTATTATTTGTTTCAGGGGCACAGGTTTGTGATTCATCAGTCTTACACAATTCACAGCGTAGAGCTTCAGTTTTAAAAGATGAAAAAGTTCTAGAGACCCGTTGCATAACAAGGTGCATATGGTTAACACTAGTAAACTACGCACTTAAAAATGGTTAAAATGGTAAATTTTATGTTATTTTTTTTACCATAACAAACAAACAAACAAATAAACAAAATTGGTGTGTGGGTAAACCAAATACCATGGTGTATATATAATCCTGTGCCACCCAGTTTGGAAAATTATAATTGTCAGTGAAATTTAGGAAAGAAGTATCATCTCACTGGTAAAGTTCTTGAGATTTCAAAAATAAAGTATTTAAATATAGAGACTGAACAACTCTCCTCCCTGTTGCTATTTTTTCCACCCACTGGTCTGTCTCCAGACTTGGGATAAAGGTTAAGGCACACAGTAGATATTTATTGTTTTGAGTCACCAATCTGGGTTCCTATCACTCTATTATAGGATTTTTGAAGGAACTCTTAAGACAAGAAGGCAGTTTTTGTTCTTATTGTTTGTGCTGTTGTTAATGTTGTTTTTCACACTGACTATCTTAAGCTCAAATAATTTAGCATTTGGGGACCACTATGAGGGAAGTATGCCTGAGGCTAAAGTGAATCCAAGAAAAGCAGAGCCAAGAGGAAGTGAAAAACTAAATCCTGATGATATCTTTTGAGCGTCTGGCTTCAAACACACATCATCTTGGCTTTACCACTGGAATTATGTGAACTAGAGAATTCTATTTATTGCTTAAGCCATTTTAATACTTGGATTTCTATCACTTACAGTGCAAAGAAACTTGACTAATATGGATTCCTCGCAATACTTTTTCTGCATTTTTAAAATGCATTTCCCCCATTACCTAGTTCAAGTTGGATTCTGTAATATACAACCTTAGAGTCCCAAGTAATATAGACATCAATACCAGAAGTGGGATCATTGTTTTAGATCATCAGAGAAAATGCAGAACTAGCTGAGCCGTGGCTCAGTGTGGGGTTGGGGCAGTACAGCCTCCAGCATCGTAGGGTGAGAAATTTAAGATTCTGTATGTAGATATAAAGCAATTGCCAACACTATATCCTTAAGTTTCTTGCTTAAGGCATTTGGCTATGAAGGGTAAAGCTTTAGAAAACTTAGCAGCAAAAGATCAATGGGTCAGTCTGCTAGTTATCAGTCTATTAATTCAAAGTTCCAAATTTATTCTTTTTGCTTGCTGTGTGAAAATAGATTTGGGCCCTTAAATGATTTTCCTTTGCCAGCTGGCATAATAATAGATCTTTCCAACAGAGGGCACTAGAGAGAAATTGAAGGAGGAAAAGGGTTTTGTTTCCCAGTTCTGGTTTGCTTGCTTCCCGTAGCGCCAACCCCAGCTTCTGCAGTGCACAGTGGCCAGCAACATCCAGCAGACTACATCTTCCTCCAAAGTCCCCCTGGATGGTTTTGTAAGGGGGATGGAATGCCTCCATGAGACATGTCTCTGTGAACAGCTTTCCCTTGCATCCTGGAGGATACATTTCCAGCAAGTTCTACCAGCATGATACCACAGAGACTTCTCTGCCATCCAGTGAACCACAGCTGGGTCCTCTCCAGCAAGGTCTGGATCTCCATCCTACCGGTGGTGGGGCCCTTCTCTGGGTACTCTATTTCAACTCTCTTTTATTTATTTATTTTTTTTAATATGGAATGCTTCATGAATTTGCATGTCATCCTTGTGTAGGGGCCATGCTAATCTTCTCTGTGTGGTTCTAATTTTAGGACATGTACTGCTAAAGCAAGGATTCAAGCCTATATTCTTCACCGTCTTCTTTACTTCTTATACCAATCCCCTATTAGAGTGAAAAAAATTTTATATTAAAGTTTCTCTGGTCAAATTACTGTGTGATTTCTCTCTCCTGATTGTACCCAGACTGATAAATCAGATTATGCTGATTTTTCCTGAGGACCTTCAATAAGGTACGACAAAAAATTTGCACTCACCCATCAAGATTTTCCTGAATGTGAGCAGAAAAAAGGGGGAGTTGGGAACCAATAATGTTGAGGTCCAAATCAAGACAGACCGAAGTGCAGAGAGGTCGAGTTCTCTGACTTGCTTCACCTTCTCCGTGTAAGATTGAAATGTTGACTGAGGAAGTGGGAGATCCTGTCAACTACAACGGGGGGGGATTAATGGAGAATGGGGGGTACCCTGATACATGGGGCTACACCCCAGTGCCTCATACTGGGTCCCCTCCTGACAAACAGAAGGACACTGCCATTGCAAACTACACTGGCCTGGAATTCAGTTTTGGGGCAGGGTGCTATTCTAGAAGAGAAAGAAGAGTTCTCTGCCAGTCCAGACAGTTTCTTCACCCACACTGTCCTGAAATAAAGTTTGTCAAACAAAGTGCACTGTGTATGTGTGGAGCCCAGAGTTGCTGCTAATGAACAGAAAATCTATGAGTATAGCCCAGCCTTGGCTCTTCCACTGAGCAGCCATGCTGACCTGATAAAGTTTTTTGGTGTTTAATTTTAGGAAGTTGCCATAAAATGAAACTGATAGACAGGTGACTATGGTTTTATTCGAACTGTAGCACCAGCAAAAGCCACACTATGTAACAGGCCTGTGATGCACTGAAATCAATGGCACAGAATGTCCCAATTCCTTAGATGGCCTTGGGCCATTTTTGCATCCCATACTGTTAACAAGTCAATTGCAAATGAAATACACCCTTCTCTTTCCCCAAACAGGTTGTCTACTCTCCCGTCCTTTTAGGTGTTCCCTTGGTGATAGGAATGATTCCAGCAGGCACTATCAGAGAGCCACATTAGTTGACAGTAGAATTCTCACCACTGTCAAGTCAACAAAATGATGCCAATGAGACTCAGTGATTCTCTGCTTTGCTTCATTAACTCCGTCCAGCAGCAAATATCCTGTGATTTCTTCCCCTCTGTCCATGTTCTATATGGAAGTTTTCATAGTAGCTGTAGTTACTCTGCATTGTGGTACGTAAGAGGTGGTTGATAGGGATTACATTTATGAAATAGTCTAAGGCTGTAGGATCATGAAATATTACAACTGGATCAGATTAAGACTCAACTAAAGAAATAAATTACTTGGAGACACTGGACTGGAAAAATAGTGGTCTCATGACATTAGCTCTAGGAACATAGCTGGAAGGTACTTTGGATTGTGTCCTGAAGAAGAAGTAGTATATGTGTATGTATTAAGGAGGAATGGCTGGAATAATTGAACTTTATGTATAGAAAGAAAGGTGTATATTTCTGCTGGAGGGTTCTTCTATTTCTCTAAAAATTAGGCTTTGTTTGCTTTTTAAAACTGGTGTCAGGCTTTTGCCTCTACTGTTATGCTGGAACTAATCTTGTTATAGTTGCCCTTATCCGAGCTTTGTGCCCAGAGGATGTCGATAAATGTGTGAAGTAAAGGAGGTGTGGGGGAGGGAAGGAAAAAGAAAAAAGGTGGGGGGGAAGGGGGAGGAGAAAAGAAAGAGACAGGTTTTAACTTTAAATTTACATATTTCCCTCAAAGATGAAAAAAACCCAGCAACATCGAAGAAAAGTTGAAATGTGAGTTAATTTGTTGGACTCTATTGCCATTTCTGGTCTAATCTATGGCTCTGCTTCCGAGGACAGCATAGTTTAGTCCATGAAACAATTGTAGCTGCATTCAAAATATGTTTCATTTTTGGTTTGGCTTCTCTGCCAACTGGCTTTCTCTGCTTGGGCAAAGGAATAGGGTGCTGTCCGTCATGTTAATATACCTTCTAAGGTAAGGCACTAATAGAGACTGACTAGAAGAGAGGGATCTCAATTTTACCTTCCTGGGAGAGAGTGTAACTGGCACAGGTTGGTACTGTATCCCCTCCATTTTAGTCAATTGTAGCATGGAGGCTGGATTCTACAGGATAAATAGGGCCACTAGGGCTGCTAATAGGAATATTAGTAACAATGACAGATGTCCATGGTACGTAAAATACTGCTGATAGGAAATTCGGTATTATTAAATAGCATGAAAAATGCATATTCATAATGACATTTACGAAAGAGTTGAAATATAACTGTCCCAAATTGGGGTGGACTAAAAAAGGGTCAATTCGCTTATTTTTCCATACTTGATATTATTAATCTCACTTTGGAGTTTCTGTTTGTGTTAATTTGCAGAGTTACTAGGAGAGGATTTAAACTCACAGTGACAAGTAACTCCGTCCCCTCTCTCTGGGGAAGATGAACCACTTCCGCAGTATTTCATCCTCCTTTGCCTTCCTATCTTCTCCTACATACAGTGTTGATTCTGTTCGGAAAATCCATCGGGGGCCCATCAGGAAAGAGAGCTCTCAGTTAGTAGTTCAAAAGAGGATGTTTAATATGGAAAACAATTACAAAGATATCAGGAGAACTGAAAGACCATATGTGAGAGCAAGGCAAACACAGAAGCCACTGAGAAAAGGCAGGGAGGGACTGCCCAGCAGGCTCCGGGACCCGAGAGGGAAGGGTGGTCTTCCAGAAGTTGAAAACCTGGAAGAAATGAAGCCACAGCCAGAGGCAGAGAAGGAGGGAGAAATGCCTTAGCTGCTTCCTTCTAGTGTCTCACCAGTGTCTGCCATTGGCTGAGTATAGACAGAAGTCAGTTGGCAATGGAAAATGGGAAACCGTCTGTAAGGGTCAGCTCCAGCAATACACCTGCCAGAGCAGGTGACAGGTAGGGAAACAGATCTGATGGTCAACCAGCAAATGTTTGGCTCAGAGTCTTTGAGCTACAAGTAACAAAAGAGCCAACTTTTGGCTGGTTTCAAGGATGGTTTCAAGTAGAAAGGCTTAACAGGAGGTAGGACAGTTTCAAGGTTAATTAGATTATTAGTATGGCTCAACTATACTGAGGACCTGCCTTCCTTCCATCTTTCCGCTCCGCCATGGTCAGCATATTGGCTTATTCTTTAGTGTGTTCTTTTCACAGTTTCATGATGGTTGCAGAGTCCCAGGCAGCACAGCTGGACAAGGAAATATTCAGATCTAGCATGGAAGTGTTTATTCCTATTTTTTGTTTTTTAAATCACTTGCTGAAGCCCCTCAGAAGAATTCCCCTCATACATCCTTGGTCATAACTGAATCATGTGCCCAGGCTTAAACTACTGACAAGAAGAAATGACCCATTCAAGTTGGTTCATCTCCATCATGGTATTTCCCCTTGAGTTGGGAATGTCCTCCTGAAGGACACAGCCAGGAAAAAAAGAGAAGATACCTGAATAAAAATCATGATTTGTGAGAGTGGGGGAGGGGAACAGGGTTTATAAGTGTTTGTTGATAGGAACATTGTGCCCTGTATGGTTTCCCTTTCATATTTTTATTTACTTGACCTCCTTCCTACTCAGCCTGAGGCATCCCTCTGCCTGTGTGTGTGTTGGGGTGAGGTGGGGAAAAGAAGAAATTAGGATTAACTCATCAGGAATGTAAAGAATGTTGCTCTTTTTAAGAACATTTCCAAAACAGGCTTAAACAATTAAATTGTATGTCTTCAGCAAATAGGTTATTTATGTACATGGTCAGGACTAATGTTAAAAATATTTAAACAACTGGAACCAAATGGGCACTGGCCACTCAGGCAGACTATTTCTCAATCAGAATGGGCAAGCTGAAAAGGACTAGCAGAGCTGCACTGGTGCAAACCAGCTGAATGTTGACACTGCATATGGTCCCAATTAAAAAAGATACTAAAGGGTAGACAGGGAAACACCAGCCTCCCTCCCATTCCATCCCCCAGCTTCCCAGTTCGCTTCTTCAAAGGCAAGCAACCACTTTTACCAGCAGAACAGACTTTTGAGGCTCTGTAGTAAGACAAAGCCAGGCTTTAAGAAAGAAATTAATTTTCTAAATTCATTTATCTCCTCCTTTAGTATGTTAATTACCTGGCCACGCGGACTTGGCTGAAGAGTTTTGCATATGGGGGGGAGGGCGGCAATTGGCAGGAAGCAGGAGGTAGAAAGGTCCATTCTTTCCAGTCCAAGGGTTTGTGGTTGGAAAAGAAAGGTGGAATAGCGGAAAGGTGTATTAGATAGGTTGAGGGGAGTGGTGAGGGTCGGGGAGCTGAGAGCACACTGCCTTATTGGTTGTGCAGAACCAAGCTAGGGGTCACCACTTTATGCAAATTCAGTGACATGGGATGTTTAGAAGGAATGACTCTCCCTTCCAGAATGAGAGAGGAGAGGGCCCCAAGGGATGCCACGGACAGTAGCTGTGTTGAGAGCAGAGCAAGACGGGCCTTCCGTGTTGAGGATCAAGAAACTGAAAAATGATTGCAGTAGAGATTCAGAGGGTTCTATAGTGTTGGTGAGGCTGAATCAACCAGGGAATGCCACAGGGCCTTGCTCCAGCTGAGACAGGCAGGAGTAGTCTTTACCAGCAGGTACCAGCAGCAGAATGCCCAGCACACATTGCATCTCAGAGATGAGTCAAAATTAGCCTCCCTGCAGAACAGTCCAGCAAGAATTCAAAGGAGACCTTATGGATGTCAGGACTGAGATTCTCCAATAAGGTCTCAAGTTCGTGTCAGTTGGGCGCCTGGGTGGCTCAGATAGTTAAGCATCTGCCTTCGGCTCAGGTCATGGTCCTGGGATCGAGTCCCACATCGGGCTCCCTGCGGGGAGCCTGCTTCTCCCTCTGCTTCTCTCTCTCTCTGTCTCTTATGAATAAATAAATAAAATCTTTAAAAAAAAAAAAGTTCATGTCAGCTATCCCTTGTCCTCCCTCTTATCATTCCAGATGTCATTTTAAGGGGGGCAGA